TCTCTCTAAAGAACTTATATTGAAACACACATGAACTCTATCTTTTATATTTTTATTATTATCTGGTTTTATAGGAAATAGAAGGCAAGTCTATATGAACTAATGAACTGTAATAACCTCTTGAGCAATTTCAGCCATTCCAGATACTCTTTCCGCACTCTGTGTGGGAACCAGAGATGAGAGATAATCTGTGGAACAGAGAATCTTCCTGCATGCCAGTGGGAGGCTACCCGCCTGCCACCTGGAACTTCTCTTTTGGGGATCTTGGCTATCTGCTGGACAAAGGTTTAAGAAGAAACTTTGATTGTACTAACATCACCAATAGACATTTCCAAGACATTTTATTTGTCTTCCCAACATGAGAAAATGTCTGAGAATCCAGTTTTTATTGCCTTTGCAGCAGAGCCCGATACCTACATAATCCTATCAATAATCTTTTCAGACTCTCTTTGTCTTCAGCATTCCATTGCTACACACCCCAGGGTGGATACCACCCTCTGCAGACCTCTCTGCCCCAGAGACCACCTCCACTGGCTTATTGAAAGTCCCAGGGCTTACCTGCCCAGCTGGGAGGAGATCCCTGGCTGCTCCACCAATCAGGGCACATACTGGCTAAGGCCCACCTCTCAACCAATCAGAGGAAATGCCGCCCGGCTTCTCAGTGCAGGCCAATCAGAGTGATGGGAGGGAGTTTCAAAACGTAGCAATGTTAACGCATGAAAACTCTTGCATATAAAGATGCATGTTTTATGCTTATGCGGTGCACTTGTACTCTTTGAGCACCCCCTGTAGTACAAGTGTCACTTCTGCACAGACTGAATAATGCTTCTGTCTTTTGCCTTCAACCTGGTGAGATTCCTGATTCCTAACTGGAAACATTTGCAGTTAGCTAAGCTTGCCAGGCATCCCTCGGTATATGTGGGTCCTTGAAAAACCTCAAATTTCTGGCATCATTGCCATTTTTAAGAATTTTACCTTTTTTTGCTAATTTTCTTTCATATTGATGTGTGTGTGAAGAGGCAGCATCTTGATTCATCTTGCATACTCCAGATTTAGAATAGTTTTCCCCTTCCAGTTTAGTACATATACCAATGTTATCCAAGCAGATATTTTGAACGAAAACTCCATAACTCTTGACAATAGGCTAGGAATGATTGCTGTTGAAGTATAAAATATCTAGAGGGAGGGCACCCGTTCATAAACACACAACTGGCCATCTTGGTTAGAGAATGTGGCTTTTCTGGAACACAGCTGGATCTGTTGGGCTATTGATATATTTTCACTTCTGCTAACCTTAGCAGAGATAATTTACTCTAGTTAATTAAATGTAGGAGTATGGGCGCTGTGTGTGTGTGATTCAGATGTAGATGCAAACTGCTCCCCCCTTATATCACTAGATTTACAATTATGTATAAAAAAGGGATATATAAAAAACCCTTTTGGCTGAACTGATGTGTCCTATGTTTTAACTGGCCATTGTGGGCCCGAGTGAAATGCACACATATGTATTCATTTGGTTTTACTTCCCTTTCCAACTACTATGGAAAAGTGGTTGAAGAGAACGGTCGAGGAGAAAACTGTTGCGGTTTGTTAGTTTTTATATTGAAATTACACAGCAGTCTTCCCAGCTCCAGGCCCCAAGTTGAGGTACACAGAGTATAAAAGAAAAAATCTTTACTCTGGAGTAGTTAATACATGTAGCTTTATAAAGAAAAATACAGTAGTCTTGAAAAACACATTGTCCATCGCAGAAGAAAGAAACACTTACAAAACAATGCATTAATCTGCTTCTTTCCAGCAAACCTTGTAGTGTAGTTCCATCTCTGATTACTTCATTTCACTCACTACCTGCATCAAGAAAACTTCACCTGATATACTTCCTAATCAGGGAGTGGTTCTTCCTCAACACACACATATACGCAAGAGATGATTCTTGTCAAGACTTACAAAACCATATACTGTAACAAAAACCACTGCTAGGCAGCTTAGGGGGTATGCTTCCAGATGTTCATGTTTGCATGAGGTTTACTGGTACCAGAAATTTATGTGGTAACTACTGGAGGAGACTGAATTATTATTTGTTTCCTTTCTTGTCCATCATTCTTAAAGTCAATCTATGCAAGGTATTCATAGTATATATGTTGCTGGATTGTACTTCCTTCCTACAATATGATTGAGAGCAAAGTTCTAGGCTAGTTTTCATCTGAATAGATGGCTTTGTCAATGTACAGAATCTTCTGTAAAAGCCTATGTTTTCTTCTGTATTTGGAATGTTAAGAGAATTTTGTAGACAAACTTACAGAATAAATAGGAGCTTGTCTGTTCACATAATGGCATTGGCTCCCGTGGTGGACATGGCTAGCCACAAAACTCCAATTTCCCAGAAGGGAAACTAGAGAAAGAAACAAAACTTAACAGCCCCAAGAAACTAAGTACAATGCAGAGGTTTCTCTGTCACAGTGCTCATTTCATAGAAGGTAAATGGATGAAGCTCAAAAGAAAGTAATTTATCCAAGAAATGCATAGAAGCAAAACTGGGATCCAAGTGGCAAATGTCAAATAACATTATTTGCCACTTAAAAGCAAAAAAAACCAAACAAAAAAACACCCACTAGTTAATAGAAAACAAACTTGTGATGCTCAAAGACATATAATGTACTTGTACACATGTGTGTTACAGACAAGCATGCAATCCCTCCATAACTATGTTGCATCCCTACTCATATGCATATCACATCAAAAATATTTGGTGCATATCTCATTAAGGATAAAAGGAAATTGTTTTTTAAGTGGCTTATGGATGAAAGAACTGGTTTGAATGCAAATCATCACAAACATAGTCAATACGAGGTGAGTATGTTTGGGTTTTTCTGTTAATGTAGACAGGCCCTTTGAGGTGACACGATAGCTATCTTAAAATATCTAAAGAAACATTATAGAGAAGATGGAGCCATTTTGCTTTTTGTTGCTTCAAAGACAAGAACATGAACTAGTGGGTTGAAATTACAAGAAAAGAGATTCCACCTAAACATTAGGAGGAACATCTATATTGTGAAAATTATTCAGTATTGGAATGGACCTCCTCAGAAATTAATCTTTTGAGATCCTTAAACAGAGGCTGGATGGACATCTTTCTGGAGTGCTCTAACTATATATTTCTGCATGGCAGGTGGTTGGACTAGATAGCCATTATTGTCCCTTCCAACTCTCTGATTATATTCCCAAGAGCATTAATGTAGTCAAAATTTGAATTAAGCCAAATCCCTCAGTCCCTACTACGATATTCTTCATGCAAATAGTGGAAAGACCCATATGTCCTAATTTTGCTAAATATTTTTTCCTTTTGCTTCCTGTTTGATTATTTTTAAAACACAAATTGCAGTAGTCAACAGATTTTAGTGCAGAAAAGAATCCCTAGTTTTTGGAATTGCTCCGGCCCTGTAACCGCCTTGATTTGACTTTCTTTGAGGGGCATACACAGTGATTGCCTTTCCCCCAGCCATTGGGATTTTGTTTGCATTTGTTTGTTGTTGTGTGCCTTTCATGTCATTTCTCATCTATGGTGACCTTAAGGAAAATGTAACATTTTTTTTTTTTTTGGCAGACTTGAGTTTGTCTATCTTATTTGTTCAGAGCAAGTTTGGCTTTGTCTTCCACTGAGGCTGAGAGAGTGTGTTTGCATAGTATCCCACAATACCACTAAGGGCACTAGAGGAGGAAATGAAGAAGGCCATGTGAGGTTTGCAATAACCTGAAAACATATCTGAGGGGTTTGGACAGCGCCACATCTAATAGCACAGCTAATATCACAAGCAAGATGCTTTGAAATAAACCAAAAAGGGTTGCTTTTTTAAAAAAATTAAAAAAAATTAAAGCCAGAAGAGCAGTATACCTGCATACAAATTGATGGACCCAAATAAACTACTGGAGAAATTCATTTTGAACAAGACTACTTGATGATTACTTCTTAACAATACGTTACAGTTCTTCCTGAACAGAAAAAAATGACAGTCAGGTTAATGTAAAACTGCAGTGATGGTCTAACTTGATTTGTTATATTGCTGCATTATTTCATTTATTCCACTGCATATCTCTTAAAACTTGAATATATAATACGAATAAGAATAAAATATAGTACTTTCAAATGAATTGGATGCATGGAAGAATATAAACAAGCACTAATGTATTTAGAAAAAAAGGTGAAAGAAAAGTCCTATTATGCATTTTTTTTTTAAAAAAAAAAACAGTGGAAAAGGTCTTAGATAGCCCAAATGCACGCCATATTCAGATCACAACATCATAATACAATTATGTGATTTAAGGCATAATATTGTGTTCTGAAAATTCTACTCAGACTTTAGATTTTCAGATAAAATTTCCCAGACTTTATTCTTATCCAGATTTCTTAAGGCCCTTCCACACATCCCTATATCCCAGAATATCAAGGCAGGAAATCCCACAATATCTGTTTTGAACTGGGTTATCTGAAGTCACACTGCCATATATTTCAGTTCAAAGCAAATACTGTGGGATTTTCTTCATATTCTGGGATATAGGGCTGTGTGGAAGGGCCCTTAGTGCTCTGTTTCAAAACAAAGCTGATGACGAACATTAAATAGGAATCACCTCTGGAGAAGCATCCAAGCTGGTCTTCCACAGGAAAAGCGACCATCTTGTAGGTCTTTTACAGGCTAATGTATTTTTTTTAATGATATGGAGTATCCAAGATTGGAATCCATTCTGGCATGAACCGTAGGCCACAAAACCTTATGCCAACATGTATTCGTTAGATTAAAAACTGCTGCAAGACTCTGAGAGCTTTTTGTAAGAAAGGAAACTAATGAATCCTCACTGGGGAGATTTCACCTTGGTTCAGCAAGTGGTTACAAATTCACCCTGCCTGGTTTCCTTCCTCTCATTTCCCTTCTGGGCTCTTTCATCAAGTGACCTGCACATATGCAACTTTTGCGTGTGCAACTGCTGAGCCTGGGATGGGGGAGGGTGGCAGGGTGATGCAGCTTGCAACTTCCACCGTAGTCCATGTGACGGCTGTTTCCGTTAGTTCCTTCCGCAAGTTCTAAATTAATCTGATGTTAAGAGAGAGCAAACAGCTAATCTTCTTTAACTGATTGATTTCAGATATACTGAAAGACCCAAAGACAGGTGCTGATGCAGAATGACTTTCCTAAAGCTGAGCACATTACTCCATGCGGTGAGTAACAACTCCAAAATGCGTTTCCAATCTTTGCATTAAGAAGATATAACAGGTGAAAAACAAAGGTTACCATGTGGCGGTTGCTGTTTAGTACTGAACAACTATGCCACGTAAGGTATTCATATCAACTAGAGGTGACCCCATGAATTTTATTTCTTATATAATGAATATTCAGAGGTGGTTTGCCATTGTCTTCCTCTGAAATATAACCTATGGCACTTGCCATTCTTTGACAACCCCTAGTACAAATACTAACCAGGGCTGATCCTTCGAAGATCAGAAAGGATCTTGTGCTTTCAGTGTACTTGGTTGGACCTAAAGATGGGTTTAATCTATTACTGCCCCACCTCATTTTTTGTTGGGCTAACAGTGGTTTCTGGAAAATTTAGCTTCAGAAAATATAAGTACTCCAATTAAACTAGCATTCTTCCAACAGCTTCATTTCAGTGTCTTAGCTGGCTACGGGATTCTGGGAAGAAATAATATTTCTATATTTTAATCTAACCAAGAATCATTAGTGTCACACATATAATTTCTTCTGGAGCTTTGTTCTAGAAACAAGATGACATTTTGAGAGCTGAGGGTTTGAAGTGTGTGTCCTAGTTTTGCTTTGCTGAGAAGTTTCTGCAAAATGTGCTTGATCAAAGGTGACAGCAGGACAAATTTAATATGTGTATATCTCTTTAGAAAGGGAACACTCTTATAAAACTACAGTACTTGTCTCCCTTCAGATTAAACTACTTTATAGGTATGAGTAACTATTTATAATCTATTATATTTCAAGAAAGAATGCTTAGTTAAACATCAAAATGAACGAATGTTGACTCTGAACATGTTGGGTAAAGCATATGGGGACAGAAGGCAAATCAGGGGCCTTATTCACACCATGCAATTGTAGTGCTTTATTCCACTTTAAACTCTATGGTTCCATCTTATGAAGTTGTGAGGTTTGTAGTTTGGAGAGGCTCTTTATGAGACTCTTAAATATCCCTCCCTAAACTGCTAATCCAATAATTCCATAGGATGGGAACATTTATTTATTTTCTATTTCCGAAGGGGGACTCATGGCAGTTAACATGGCAGTTAAAGGGGAATAATAGTGCTATAATTGTGTAGTGGATGGGCTCCTAGTTCTACTGGTAGATCTTTGTGTGATTTGCAATAGATTGACAAGACTCTCAATTAAGTAAAAATATGCCCAATAAAATTAGACTGCTGGATAGAGCGAATATGAGGGAACCAGACAGAAAAGCACTTTTAAACTGAGTTCAGTTCTGATAACATGAGAGCAAATTGTTAGGCTCCGAATATGTTTAAAGGAAACCTGTTCATTAATTCTTTGTCTTTTGTACTTGGTTCTGACTGGGGCATCTTGGGGCCTTTGTGAGAAATGGATTTGGCATTCTTGAGATCTGCCTATCCTTCGTGAACTGAATGTGTACAGCAGAATGACATACATAGGGAAAGCATACGGAAAATATTTTCATCAGAGCTCGAGTCGTTTGACAGATAGAAGATATTAGACAGCAAATATTCATTTGTTTAAAATGACTTTCAGTCCTTGACTTATATGCCTTCTAGGAGTGGCCAATTCTTTCTGTAATATAAAATGCAATGAAATAGAACTAAGAAAAGGCAGGGAATATTTTCTTAAATATATTTTTTCTGTTTTCTTCTCTCTGCAGGAGGTGGGCTGTTGAGATGGCAATGATAGTTCTGAGCATCTCCTTGTGTGTAGCTTTTGTAGATACAGGATGGGAAATCAAACCTCCAGCCTATCATCAACTCTGCAAACTGGTGAGTGCCTTTTTGTATAAGTTTTTGAAAACAAGAGGGAGAGATTTATTCAGTAAGGTACTGTATTACATCACATAATAGTCATACTTTTTATTACTTTCTGGGCAAAAAAGAAGTGTGTGATTATTATATGAGGGGGGGAAATCATGTCAGTTTTATGTACCAACACAATAATGTATTATTAAATCTCTGTTCAAAGCACTACCCTAAACAGCTTTACCTACTTGCCTGCTCCCTTTTAGTAAGGGTGCTTCACTCATACGCTCATCCATCTGCCTGCCCATCCACCTACCCACCCACTGGCTAGTGCTTCATTCACTCACTCATCCACTCACTTGCCCATGCATCGGCTAGTCCTCCCACCCACCCACTGCTTCACTCACACACTCATTCACTTGTTCATCCATCTGCTCACCCATCCATTCACTCATCTGCCCACCCACCCACTTCACTCACTCACTCACTCACTCACTCACTCACTCACTTGTACATCCATCTGCTCACCAACCCACCTACCATGGTGAATGAAGCAGTGGATGGATGGGGATCGAGTGAGTGAGTGAAGCAGTGGGCAGGGTGAGCAGATGGATAGGTGAATGTGAGTACATGAAGTGCCGGGCAGTGGGCGGTCAGGTGACCACACAGATGGGCAAGTGTGAGTAGGTAAAGCTGTTTTGGACAGGGTAGTAAGATACGTAGAAGGGAATGCTAGACTGTTTACAACAGGTAGATTGTCTAAAACAAGGATGTGACTATTATGTGAGGAATACTAAAATACCAATTTTGGCATGCCAAAAATAGGGCTGCAACTATTATACAATGGCGACTATTATGTTATGAAATATGATACTTGCTAGGAAAACATGAGCAGTCTTTAGAACAATCACATTGGCATCTGATTTTCCATTGGGGAAAATAAATGTTGGATTAGATACTCATGTAGTATGATCTAATCCGGTTTCTCTTAAGTTTTTATAAGAGCATCATCCTTGACACTTTATTGCAGACATAAAAATGTGGATCTCTTAGAATCTTTTCATGAAGTACTTGCATGTAGGTTATTCACTGGTTGATGCAAGAGGCTGTACTGTTGCTAGCCAATATCACATTCCTGAGCCAGTCCTGCCCTGTGACATCCCACAAATAAATTCTTTACATAATTAACTGGCAGCTTATCTGGCAGTTTTAACCATCATGCTCATTTCTGTTTCAACCGCTGCATCATTTTTATTAACCAGCCAATCTACAAATCTTTGTATCTCTATTTCATATTTCAGGAAGAGAGAACTGTGAATTGCAATGGGAAGAGTCTAACCTCCATCTTAGAAGATTTGCCTGCTGGAACAGAGAAACTCTTCCTTGATACTAATCATATAGAAATGCTAAAGAATGAATCTTTAGTACAGTATCAAGACCTGCAAACTCTCAGCCTGTGTGACAATGGGTTGGAGATCATTCAAGCAGGGGCCTTCCTTGGGACTTGGAGTCTTAGACATCTATCTTTGGCCAACAATGTCCTTGCCACGAACTATTCTGTGACAGCAGCTGCTCTAAGGACTTTGCCTGCTCTCAGGAAGCTGGACCTCTCTGGAAACCTGCTCACTGAGGATATGATGGATACTATGATCCAGCATTTGTCATCACTAGAATCCTTGTCTCTAGCGAGGAATGCCATCATGAGACTGGATGACAGACATTTCAAGAACCTGCCTAACTTGTGGCATCTGGATTTACAGCAGAACTACATTTTTGAGATTGAGGCGGGTGCATTTGAAGGGCTGAGAGGGCTGCAACAGCTTAATCTGGCCTATAACTATATCCCGTGCATTGTGGGGTTTGACTTGACCCAACTCCAGATTTTAAATGTCAGCAACAATCACCTTGAGTGGTTCTTTGCTGCTGAGGATGATGCTGCCTTTGCACTAGAAACACTAGATCTTTCCTACAACCAACTCCTATTCTTCCCATTCTTACCTAAGCGAAATAAGCTGAAAACATTGCTGCTAACACACAATAAAATGAACTTCTATGAAAATCTTTATAATCATTCTGAGAGCTCAGTCCAACTGCTGTTTCTGGATGGCAATGTCACCAACATCACCACGCATGAACTTTGGGAAGAAAACAGTCATAGTAACCTCTCTTCTCTGACTTTTCTGGACATTAGCTGGAACCAGTTCTGGTATATTCCAGACTGGTTTTTTGAAGGGATGGTTTTGCTTGCACACATGAACCTCAGCCACAACTGCTTAAAGACACTGAACCTGTGGGAGAAGGAAGGGCTGAAGAATCTTATTGACTTGGATCTTAGCTATAACCAGCTTTCAGATCTACAGATGAACTTGGATCCAAGAGGTAACTTAAACTACCTTAGGAGCCTTAATCTACGCAGCAATAGGTTGCATGGATTGCCTGCTAAAATCTTTACTCACACAACGAAGATCACTACAGTTGACCTCAGTAATAACCCAATAGAGATTTGTAACTCACATGATGCTGGAAATCCCAGTTGTGTAAATATTAGTAATGCAGGCTCTTTGAGAAATCTTTTCTTGGCTGGGTGTGAGTTGAAGGAATTGGTCAGGCATGCCTTCAAGGGGACCTCCCTAGTACAGTTAGATCTATCAAGCAATCCCAAGGTGCTCTACAATGGCTTAGGACCTCTGGAAGACATTGCAACATCCCTGCAGATACTCTCTCTCCGGAACACTGGCCTCTTTGCACCAAGTGCAAAGATAGATTTTTCTGCTTTTCAGAATTTGGTAAACTTGGATCTATCTGAAAATTCTCTTGACATATTTCCTGAATCTTTATCAGGTTTAAAACTGCACACTCTGAACCTTAGGCAAAATCGTCTCCGTTTCCTACCTCTTCATGTCATGGAAAAGCAACTTGGGAAGAGTTTGCGTGTGATCTACCTCAGCCAGAATCTCTATGACTGCTGCAAACTGGGGTGGAGGGATTCTCTCCACAGACTTGGACATGTACACATTGCAGACATGAGTCAAGTCACTTGTAACTACTCTTCCAGGTTCTTTAATGCAGCGAATCTACCTGAATCTGTCATCCAAAACTGCAAGTGGCTAACGGCAGATATGGCTTTGGTGTATCTGGTGCTCACTCTGCCTACCTTTTTGGCTCTACTGGTTGCCTTTGGCATAATCTTTCTCACTTTCAGAGAAAGACTTTTTAAAATGGTAAAACGCAGGTATAGAACATCTAGTTCATATTGAGGTGACGAGAAGAAATAAGAGATTAAGCCTCATGAACAGGCTTAACAGGATGGGGAAATTACAATACTGTAATATGGTTCCAACATGTGACAATAATGTGGCAATAAGAAGCTGTCCAACTGGCATAGAGAATTGTCCTAATGTAATTGGAAAATATGATGGTTAATAAAAGTTATGAGTGGAAGGATGCTAGACGGTAATACAGTTGATCCAGAATAGAAAGAAAAGTCCGTTCCAGACACGAAAGACAAATGTGAAAAACCTATTTTGAGAAGGAGCCATGATGTTTGTACACATGGAATTCTTGTTCAAAAACATGGAATCCTTAGGCAAGCAAATGCCATTTTCTTCTTGGAGGAACATTTCCCATACCTCCATATCAATATGGTTTATACACTAAATGGAAACTAAATGGAAACATTAATGAGACAATTAATGGGAATAGGAGGATGGGCTTCTCTATTTTTTCTGGGTTGCACACATTTTCAGTTGCTCACATTTGATGGGTGTCACCATGGATTCCTAACTTGTTAAGGTGAAGAAACAGTCAGAGTATACTTTGTGTATTTAAAATAGGGAATATGGAGAAACCAAGAGACATGCAGACTGGAATAGGTTGCAAAGTTAAACTCAAATGCTTATGCTGGGTCAGATATGAAGGTAGCAACATGAACAGCAATCAGCATTTTCAGGATTGCGCGGAAAGAAACAGATGGTGATGGGAGCAAAATCTGGGCTCTACTCTCAGTTATTATGTTGGACTTAATTGATTTCAACCAGAGCTGTGATTTCTCTAAGTGTAATAAATTTACTTTAGTATAAGCTTTCATGGGCTACAGCCCATTGCCTTTCTATTTCCTTTTATACTAACTTAGCTGGCACACTCACTTCTTGACAATTACTTTTGAGCAGTTTTCTGCGATTGAATCTAATGTTCAAAGAAAGTCAGGAAGTAACCTTATTCAGTTGCATTCCTCGGAGATAAATAAAAACATGATAAGGGGAGATCCACCATCTCACAAAATGAGAATTATGAAGCAGAAAGACTCCTATGTGTGGACTCCTCCCACGGAGTACTGAAAATTGAATTTTGAGGGGTCTGACTTGCATGGAGGACCTTAATGGTGACAATGGAAAAGACAGGGCTCACATATTCCTTTCCTTGCATGTTTACTTAACTTCAAAGAGAACTATTGAATAGGGCTCGTGTTTTGTACTTGCAGAGTGTGGCATGTCAACCAGTAGCATGGGTGAAGGGATTCTACTGTCCCAACATGTAATTCCTTTCAATTTAAACCAGAACCAGGCCCGTAGCCAGTATTTTGATTGGGGGGGGGCTGAGTTTGATTCGGGGGGGGGGAGTCTGAGTGAAACTTTTTGTATCGTTATCCCAATACCCCCATGCATATGGGATATTTTGAGCATAGTGATCAGATCATGATATGTATAAACATAACAGTTTAAATAATGTACAAGTAAGGCCTTCTTGTGGACCACCATGAGAATTTCGGGAGGGGCTGAAGCCCCTCAATCTCCCTCCTTGGCTACATGCCTGACCACAACTGTGGAATGCTGGACAGCAACTCTGTTCCTCTCTCTTCATTGGTTATGCTAGCAAGGACTGATGGGAGTAACAATACAACAACATCTGAAGGTGTATGGATTCCCCATTCTTTGTTTAAACTTTAAAGAGTAGAGCTACCCCACCTTCTACTTCATATGAGAGTGGAGAAAACATGCCTGTAATGATAGACAGACAGACAGACAGACAGACAGTCAGATATAGAGTGGCCTTAAGGGCCCTTCCACAAAGCCCCATATCCCAGAATATGAAGGCAGAAAATCCCACAATATCTGCTTTGAACTGGGTTATCTGAGTCCATATTCAGATAATGTGGGATGTCCTGCCTTGATATTCTGGGATATAATACTGTGTGGAAGGGCCATTGGAGAGCAAAGAAAGGAGCTATGATTTATTTTAAAATAATACAACCTTTAACCTTTCTTTGTGCTCTTATGGAAGGAATGCAGAACATCTAACCTGAGACCTTTCATCAGCCAGGAGGGTATCCGTCTGTTATGAGTGTTTGGTTGAGGAACTCTTAGATTGTAGAATGTGTGACCTTTTCCACCTTTCATTAGAATTATATATCTGGGGTTTTAATATGAAACATAACGACCATGTTTAATCTTTACTGTTTCAGTGTTTGTTATACAGTATGATGGACAGATTATATTAAACTAGCAAAGTGAGTCTCAGTTGCAACACAACCACAAAATAAATCACAGGTCCATTTATTTGTTAAGATCAGATATACAAAGATAGCCCAATTGAGCAATATCAGTTATTATTTAGAAACTAACCATCAGCAACTCACAACAGTTTATAACACGTGCCTACAAGATTTGGCTATAGTGGTCCAAGTTTTAGTTTCTGGACGGAGAGCAATGGAAATATAGTTTGCAAAGATGTTGAAACTGTGGGCAACTATGAGCAAGAGTATTTCTTTATCAGACCAACTCATTGACAAACAGAAAAGGAAACACCTGCCAATCCTTCTCTGTGGGGAGCCAATTCTCTAAATAAGGATCCTTATCACAACTGTTACATTAGTTCTACTGTCAGTGGATAAGTACACAAGTATTTCTACATCTGTTGTGAACATACTTATTTGAATTAGATTTTTTTCATTATATCTATGAAAGTCTGTTATAGGCACTGATACAGGGCAGTCACCTGGAACTCTGAGAGTTTCTAAACATTCTGCAATCTACCGTTTTGGTTTAGGAAAAAAGTATGTATTTATTTATCATATTTATATCCCTCCCTTCTCACCCTGAGGGAGACTCAGAGCGGCCTTACACATAGAGAACAATTCAATGCCATAAAAGCAACATACAATTAAAATAAACGTTTACATTAAAACCAAAAAATTAAAACACCTAAAAGAAACAGCTCCTTTCCTTTCAATCTATATGTCAATATATAGAACCTCATCACATTAGGAAATACTCAGTTTCTATCAGAATTCATCCATATTTTTTTTCCTGACTGAATGCCGATGGGATGCATACTGACTCCAACACACCCAAATACTATGATTCTTGCCTTCAGAAAATGCTGCTCATTGTTCCATCACACCACTGAAAGCTGGCTCCTCCCAATCTGTTTGAAACACTCCCTATGCCACTCTGTGACTTTTAGATTTTTTTCCCCTAAACCTGTGCAGTGACGTAGCCTCAAAGTCTCAAAGTACCGCTCTCATGAGATTTGAAAATGTGCTCGCATCTGCGCAGTAAATGAATTGATCACTACTTTTTGGCACAAAATATGGAGATCTACAATATAGAGTTCTGAGGAATCTAATCTTATTGGATTTCTAAACAATAGATTATTGATGCATTAGATGTGGCTCCTTCTGACAATGCTGCTTCTCCTTCTGAGGAGGAATAATAGTTAAAAGTAAAAGTCTGTTCCTTAAATACAGGTACAACGCAGAAATAAATTGCGCAGATTCATATATATATATATATATATATATATATATATATATATATATGAAGTAAAGCAGCAATTTCCAATTTTCTTAATCCCAGGGATCTTTTCCTCGAAACAGAAATGGTGGCTGCTTCCATTATGAAAACTCTGGAGTCAAAATATTCTGCCCACCAGACACACCCACTAATGACAAGTCATATTATTGATGATGGGATGCATACCGATTTCAGCAATGGAAAACTGCATAGTTTTAAAAAAATACTATGATTAGAATATACTCTGTTTCTGTGACTTTTGAAGATGGATTTCAATGGATTACTGACAGCATGGGGTAAGTGTCATGTGATGGAACCCTTTGGAAATTGTTCTCAATAAGTTTCAAAAATTGAATATTTTCTATTGTGATTAGGTTCATACAATATATAGTACTCCTTAATTCTTTCAGTTTACCCTCTTAGCTCAAACACTTTTCAACTTTGATTTACCCGGGTCTCTGAGAATGTTAATTTAAGAGCAAGGGTTTTTAAACTTGATTACTACTTTAGATGTTTATCACTTAAGATCATTGCTGGTAGTAAAACATTTCATGAAGGTAACTGCTAAAAGACAGGAGCAGCGCTTCTGTGAAATTGCCATTACCCTAGCAAATAAAAAAGAAAACAGATGTGTCATCTATAAGGAAAAACAAAAATTGGAGTTGGGTAATGCCTTTATTAGGATCATGAAAATGATACTAAAACAACACATAATTAGTTGGGTTTCCCAGAAGCCTGATGCCTCATCTGCACTGACCATTTAATGCTATTTCAAGCTAGTTTTGAAGAAAGTGGTTTTACTGTCCAGATGATTACATAGGAAATCCTGGAAACAATATGATGTTCTGATGGTTACTACACAGACCACAAGGTATTGATGCACATTAGGAACCTTCTTTAGCACACTTTATGGGTGTTTGTTGTCTGGCCACTGCACTTTGAAGCTGGCTTCTAAATGCATTAAATGATCAGTGTCGATGGGCCTCAATGAGGCAAGAATAGGCAAAAAATTCCTCATCTCCCATTTCTGCTGAACTGCTAGATAAAAGAGTTCTGAAAAATTCAAATGTTTATGCCATCTGTGTGCCAATCACCTACAAAGCATCTAGTTCTGGTGTCAGTACTAAATGTCTGAAACCTCTCTGTGGTAGAAGTTTACGGGAAGGAAAACCACACAGTGAAAAAACCTCAGCCCCTGTTGATGCATACACACATTGTGGTTATCTTTAAGTACGAAGAAAAGCAGCAGGTTTCCAGTTATCAAGAAACAACACAGTGCAAATGAACAAGAGTAGGATACTATTTAATGCTTATGTTTCATAGGTACTAGGACAGCCTTAAATACTGATGCTCATGGCAGAAAAAAAGGGAAATAGATGTTTGATTAATGTAAATGAAGCTGAAGGTAATTGTGAAAAGCTGTGCATGATGGCTCTGTTACAGAAATATTTCCGAGACTTACTTGTTTTGCATATAGGGGAAGACGGGAACAATGGCATATTTCTATGAGGGTTGCAGTGCTCAATTAATGAGCTAATTAGTTTAACTAATCATTTATTAAACTTAAAAATGGCGAACAGGGAAACTGAATGCAATTTCTGTCATCTGTTTTCTCAATTGTTTTCATCACCATAGTCTTCAATATGGCTTAGG